CTCTTATCATATTGCATTGCTTTTTAGTGCTCTTATCATATTGCATTGCTTTTTAGTGAATAAGTTGCTAGAACATGAATGGGACTCTGTTTGCACTTGTATGAAAATCTATGAAACAGAGTTATTCACAAAATCATCCTTGATAGTGAAAATGTAGACTTATGTCTAATATTAAAATGGACAGGAAAAGGAAGAGAAAACATGCACTTCTCTCAATCACTTTATGTCAAATAGACATAAAAGCTCTATCCATAGTGATGACTGCACATATCAGTGATTTTATAAAATCTTGAAACAAAAAAAATCCAAGAGGCAAAGTACTAATAGTGCTGTACAGAGTCAACTGTCAATAATAGCACGTGCCATAGAGATAAACAATTAAGAGGTTGCTAAATTTAGGTAATTTTTGTCAATGGATGAATAAATTCAGTCATAAGGAATAAAGTGCACTGGTTGATCAGAGCTGGCATAACACTTGTCAGACAAAAATGCACTAGCATGGGTGAATCAGAAAACACTTGTTTGTCACAGGTTTATAGATGAATTCATCTCCTATATTTGTATGCACTGATTTTAGTGTGAGCATGCAATATGCACCCTGATCAATTTTTTGTGGTGTATGGGTTAAATGGTGAGCTGTTAATCAATTTAGTGTGCACATGCTTATGGGTTGGGAACTCGATGTGTTTTTTTTTTTTTACCAAAAAAAGTTTTTGCAGTATGTGATGCTCTAGACACAAGTTTTAAGCGATCATTTATTTTAAAGTTAAAATTGAAGTTTGATAAGCAAAATAACTTGAGAATATAGATTTATTGCCATTTTATTGATTAACAGTAACCAGTTGCATGTTCTTTGTCAGTTTACCATACGTTTATTTTGACAAACAATTCAAACAATTCCAAAGGAAATACACAAAGGCATCAAGGTTATTGCTAAACTACCTCCCTGACATGAAAATTGAGTTCACTTTTAAGAAAGTGACGTCTCTTTTCTGTGATAGTTACTATTTCCTTAGGAATTTTTTGGGTGGTAACTCAAATAGTTTTTTATGTGCCAGATTAAGCAATTCGCATTTTTTCTTATGTGCTTTCATTTTACTTGCAGAAGATCTGTTATAGATAGTAAATCTGAGGTACTGAGTCTTAATTTATACACAATTTAAGATGTAAATATGCAAAAAAACTAACAAATAAATAAATGCTTATTATGATCTTTCATTAGTTACTGAGCTGTTCCTAACCATGCTTTTTGAATTTTTGTTTCTTTTTTTTTTTTAGTTTTTTGCATTTATTTTTTTTAACTTACTTGTGATATGTAAAATCAAGTTAAGATTTGAATTTGGCAATGTTCATACATATTTCATCTAATACCGAAAAAGATTTGTAAGATAATTTAGCTTTTATGTTGACAACTAATGCAAATTATTGGCTATTGTGTATTTTTGATGAGAAATGTCCAGCTTTGATCTACATTTTATACTAATGTCAACTTTGAAATAATGTTTAGACTCACAGAGACGGCACGGTTGCTGCGGAATGTGTTCACACGACCATCAACAGCAACCATTCAGGCACCAGAAGCTCAACAGAGAGATCGTGAGTAATGAGTTACAGTAGACTGTATTTGAAAACTTAAAAAATCAAAATGTTTGTTTGTTTTCTGCAGATTTACACTCACTTTTGTTGATATAATCTTGGTCCACCCCCCCCCCCCCCCTCCCCTCCCAAGTCTTAAAATATGTTTACACAATCGTCAGTGGATTGTCTTCCCTCATTCAGATAATCGTCAGCGGAGTGTGACGCACTCGTGTATGTCACATAACCCTCGCTGACTTGGGGTCTGTCTATGATATATATTTATTCTTAACTCAATTTAGTCTCCAAAGAAAAATATACAATAATAACAATATATAAAACACTGAATTCTCCTACTTCTTTCAGAAAAGTACCCCTCCATCCATGAAATATATACAATGATAACAATATATAACACACTTAATTCAATTCCCTTTCCAGAGAATTACCCCCAACTCCCTAATGAAGGTGATGAATACTTACGTCTATGATAAAGATGTGGCCGTGGCCGCAGTTGGTAAGTAAATCACTAATCTGTATACATGACATAGAAATTCTCAGCTCTGGATAATTCATCTTTTGAAGTTGTTAATTTAAAAGTCACTTAAGACTCCTGAAATGGTGTATATTGTGTTGTATGTTGTAAGAGCTTTAACTACTAGACGTGTTCATTGGCTTTCTTGGATGGACAAAAGTTTCCTGGTGGATGCTGTTGACTTAAATAGATGTGGAGCAATCTATTTTTTTTTTTTACTACTCTCTCACGTGTGTGTACTTACACAGTTTGAAGAAAGAAAAGCTTNTTTTTTGAAAAATTTTTTCCCCCCCCCCCCCCCCCCCCACTCCATTGACTGTGCTGCACTTGAGGATTTTTTTTTTTTTTTTAATAGCCCCAAGATGTTGGACTATAGCCCCATCCAGAATAAATTATCCATATACTAAATGATCTGCTGACTAACTTTGGCCAACTCCACTTCAGAAGCGATGCCCCTGATTCTCGATGGTTTCCCAGCCTACACATGGGCCATTAAACGGATTTCATTTTGGCCCTGAGGTTTAATTGCAAGGCCCCTGCTGGGACGGGGCATGTGGAGGCGGGGAGACCATCATGGAATTATTGGCATCGCTTTTGAACCGGGGTCAGTCATATTTAGTGGGCAGATCAGTTAGTACTCGGATCATCTATTCTGAATGGGGCCTAGTTTATTTTCTGCTGTTCGTATTGGAAATATTATGTATTACGCTGACATATAAAACTAAAGCTTACAATGTTAACATTTAATCCATCTTTCAGACGGTTATGCTTTCTCCCAGGAGGAAGGCGGGGCAGTGGCATTGGTAAGTGTCAAAGCAGAAAGGCTGTGATCTCACAGAAGAAATTTCTTTCTAAATAAATCTTGTAATGCTTGGCGTTTGATTAAATAATTATTTCTTCTTAAAAAACTGACAAAAAGAGATCATTCATTAATAGTTAGATACAAGTTTACTACTGAAGAATTCATTTCCCTTTATATGCACTATAATAATGACTAAACTTTACCAGTACATGTAATAGTTAATTGATTTGCTTTAAAAAAGTTTGCAATTGCTTTGAATAGTTTAAGTCATCTATTTAATCATTTTCATTTTATTTTGACCCATTAATATGCTTTTAACACATTCATTATCACCTGTTCTGTTCTGAATTTCTGTAGGAACACATGGGTTTTTTGTCACCTAGGTATAGCCCCAAGTACAGCTTTGCTTCAGAGGCACTATGATAATCTTTCCTCTATGGGGGAGGGGAAAAAATTTCTTCTGGTTTTCTTTATTTATACCTCGCCCCCTGTGATTTAAGAACCAATATATTGAATTTACGAAGAAATAAAGATGTGATTAAATCCTTAATTTATTTTGTCCACTCTCATGTTTTATAATTCTGAACCAATATATCTGAAAAAAAAATGTGATTACACCAAGTTATGTATACCTGTTGTGAACCTTATTCTTCTGAGACACCTTGCTTGAATTTAATTTTTTTTTTTTAATTTCAGTTGCCTTGAATAAATTCATAACATCTTGGGCGAATAATGTTGTTGTTTTTTTTTTTTTAGATTCTGAAATCTCTACTTTGAAACCAGATTTTCATATCAGAGAAGAAAATCCTCTCCCTGTTTCACCATGATAAATACCTTCAATTTTCTCTTCACCTGTTGTGCTTCTATCTCAGTGCTCTTGTACCGCAGAATGTGGTTCTATTGCTTATGCTGCATTAAGACATATGTATGAACAATATGATTTGTAAATTGTAAGAAATTCTACCTTGGTTGGAAAGAAAGATATAAGGAAAGAAAGAACTTTCCCTTTCCTAAGTTTAACTAGTTCACAGCTTATTTTTATGTCTGAGACTCAGTGGAGTATCTCAGCACAGAATTTTTATTTATTTATTTATTTATTTATTTATTTATTTATTTATTTATTGGGGGGGGGGGGCACAGGGAGTTTTAACTGCCTTGAATAATTAGATCCAGAATTGATTCTATTAAGCAGTGATCTAGTTCAACTCCTATAAGTGCCTTATTACTTGCTTAGTCTTTCTTTTTCATCAACCAAGAATCTTGGGTATGAAGTCAAAATTCTTGTGTCAGTTAGCATATGGTCAACTTTTAAATTGCTATTATTCTTTATCTAGAATATACGCTGGTGATTATGACACAATGTATTATAAATACAAGTCAGTATTAGAAGTTAGGTTTATAAATTGTTACGGTCTTTCATATGTAAGGTTTTAGTGAATAAATATGATCTAAAAAGATGATCTAGATAAAACTTAAATCAAACTTGGTTGCAGTAAATGTTTGAAGTGGTTTTCATATTAGTTTTTACAAAACCATATTGATTTCAACTCTAGAAGAAATACTTAAAGTGTGCGTTCTCACACATGCACGTGCACGTGCGCGCACACTATAGTCCCAGAGTTAAGCTGTGAATATCAGTATTATGAAGGATAACCATGCAATCAATACATTTTATATGACACACATCTCACATTAATTCAAAATAAGTGTGAATGAAATATGTATCATCACTGCCAAGAATTATCACAAAAAGTTGTCTTTAGGCTTGAACATAACTAGAAGACCTCTCTTTTCTGTTAGTTGAGTTAAAATACGGTAAAAAAAACAAAAACAAATTAAATTATCAAGTTTCTTGCACTGAAGCCAGGATATTAAATAGAAATTTTACACATTTTGTTCAATATTGGTCATTTTAAAATTTTAAATCTGAGCTTGTTAACCCATTTTAAAATTTTGACATTTTTTCTTGTATTCCAGTCGACTGTAATCCGACAGTATGACACGTCTGATCGAAAACCTGATGGTTCATAAACCTCTTGCTGGACTGGTACCTCATGTCCAAACACAGAACTGTTCATTCGACTGAGAGATACCTGGATGACAAGTTATATATCTTAACACAAGCTGATTGAGTCATTGGCCCAATGGTGGACAAATTGCATCTGGAGATACATGTATTGAAATGATGGGTCTTTACCATCCTGTTGTTTTCGTGTCACTACACGTCACAAATTTACATTACCTCAACAGCCTGGAGTACAAACACATTCGAAAGAGATGATAGTCATATGTCGCTATACTGTAAATTGTAACCTAGAGTGTTAACTGTAGCAAGATTTGACACATAGTTAAGACCATAGTTGTAAATCGTGAAATCTAAATCAAACAGAATTCCAAAGTATTATTATGTCATATTTTTTACTTTTCATGTCTTGGGCTTGATTAGTGAAATAACAGTCTGTTTATGACAAAACATTTCAGCCATCTGTTTTACCTCTTTTTGGCTTATATATGCTTTTAAATGTTGAAAACAACAAGAAATCGTCTTTACTGATTAAACTGTTATTATTTTCATTGATCTGATTTTTTGTTACCATTTTATATTATTTGCTTATAGCTATTATACAGAACATACATAAAATTTAACTTTGTTTTCCATATATTGAATATTTTTGCATATCTTTATTATGTGTACTTGCATCACAAGTACAGTGCATATAAAGCGTAAGAAACTTTGTTACGATGAAGGAAGGGGATTTTTGTTTCCTATTGTAAATGATATCTAGATGTCTGTTTAACGTATGTGACTTGAAGATTACAAGATTAATGTTATAGTTGTAATATATGTTCTTTTAAATTATCAATTATATATACATTGTAAATGTAAAGGTGCACTTCTCAAATGCACCAATGGTTTTGTTGGCATACAATTTTCATTGTTGTTACTAGTAAATTAATGTTATATTTTGCATTGACATCAGTGTTCTTTGCATACAATGGCAGCAAAATATCTTGCCATGTTATTTTTGACATAAGGCAGATTGCTTATCTGTTCTAATATTGAATCAGATATAGTTACAATTAGCTGTGAGCGTTGGAAATTTAAATGTAATATAATAATAAATAAATGTGATCTCTATTTTGCTTAAATATTTTGTTAAAGATTGTATTCACTAGATGCTAAGAGGACAAGGGAAGGACAGGACACCTGCCTGCAGTTTGAATAACCTGATTAATGACTGTAGAACATTACATTTTTGACAACATATGCCCCATTTCACTTCAAAATGGGTTAAAGTAATAAGAGAGAGAGAGAGAATGTAGAACATTTGTTATGTAGGATGCATGTAATCAGTTAACTTTCTGATTTTAGTGAGGGTTTCAGAGCAAGTACGCGTATAATTCAGAAATATATCTTTCATTTTTTGTCAGCCCTTCTCCCCTGTAAATGACAATTTCCCACAAACAAAATGAGGATGGAGGGACAAAATTGACTTATTAATATCATTTGTAAATCTTCTTTTCTCTTGTATGTGTCATTTTGTTTGGAGATGTTGTCCCCCCGCCCCCCCCCCCCCCTCGGCCTGTCTATGACAGATATGTATTACTTTGTATTTTTCAAGGGTCACCACTCACCAGGGTGAAATACAAGCCTAAGCTACATTCCTTGAATTCGGTCTAAAACCATCTATCCAGTATGTCACTGTAACACACTGTGTTGCAAAAATGTTTAGAAATGTTTTCTTCCCGAAATTGTCAAATTTCACTTTCACGTGTCAGTTTAAGCTTCTGTCATTTTGGATGTTATTTTTCATTGTGCAGTATGTGTGTTGTAATCACCATTATTGATTTAACTGTTACTTCATGTACAAATTTAAATGAAATTTCTCAAGGAATGGGGGTTTATTTACAAATATAGATCTTGGTAATTAATTTGAACAACAGTTATCTGTAGAATCATATTTCAATGTCATTGCCCAGGTAAAAATTGGAATTGGTTCTAAAAGAAGGATGGAAGGGGGTTATTGAACAAATATATTAAAAATTGGTTTTGATATGCCTTTCATCCCTAAAGAAGTGCAATATTTTCAAAATCTTATGTGAGAAGCAAATTACGTCTTCTTGGCTGTGTACTTGTTATTCATGAACTGTCATTGTTCTAAGATGGAATAAAAGAATTCTTCTAATAACTTCTCATTTTACTGTGAACTGTGGTTCTAACAAAGCAACTTATGCAAGGTTATTACTAAAACAAAAATACAATTAAAAAACAAATTATTCATCTTGCACATCAGCACATTTGGGGACTTTCCAGTATTTGAAACTATATTAACTTTGACCAACTAAACAAATGTTTTCCATATTACAAACACTAGATATGTAGTTTTGAAAATGACCTCTAACAAAATAATTTTGTAAAGCACCCTGCAAATCACTTTTCCTTTTAGGCAATGTGGGTAAGAACTTCTATAACTGAAAACCCAACTTTCCCTGAAATATAGCTACTTTCTTCAATGCCAATACATGTGCCACCTTCAAATTGTTGATAACTAGAAATCAAATAATAGGTTTCTTTAGATCAAATACGGGGGGATGTGCTTCATTTTCAGCTCTACTGCTAAAAGCTTCAGGTAGGAACTATTGGAAACAGAGTAATTCAGAATGCGGCCAAGGCATTTTGCTTACATCATGAACTGAAAGCATGGCAACACCAGTTTCACTTGGGCTTTATATACTGCCACAATTCCCTTTTTAATTGAAGAGTAAACAATGGTATGTTTTGACCATGTGTCAACCAGTCTCCTTATCCCTAAGAAAACAAAATCAGCAGTTGATATAAAACCATTTTATTGTTGTTCAAGATAAAACCTGCTCACAACACTAATGAGAAATAAAAATGTTTCTCTGGATCTGTATACACCAATTCTGTAACAATGCCGTTTTCCCAGCTCATCATCGAGGCCTCTTCTCTATTCACAGCCACTTCCCGATTTTAATGCAATCTCTTGCCAGATGCAACACAAACAGATGGAAATAGTCAAAAGCTTAAGAATTTCTCAAATGATGACTAAAATTTGACCAATACAGATAAAGAGCAAACATTTACTTCTGCTAAAATGAACTCCCAGAAATCCACAGAAAACGAGAAGTAAGTGTTCACAGGGCTCTGTCACCAAGAAACAGAACACACAATATACAAGTATAAGCAAAATATAAAACAATCTACTATACAAAGACAATAGCAATGAAAAGATGAATGAATTTCAGAATGTTGCAATTTCTACGTCAGCAAAAGGTCATTTACTGTGGCATACTATATTTACATCTAAATTTCAAATTTTGGCCTGCAATTTCAAGTATTCACAAGAACTTTTGCTCAGCCCATTATGGTATTAAAAAATAATTCTCAGTTACCCAAGCATCTACTTGGTGAAATCTTTCTTTACAAGCAATCTAATAACCATTATGATCTCCTATATACAGCAATGAAGATCCATCCAACAAAATGACGGTGGCCATCTCACTTCTGAACATTTTCAAAACTGAATAAAACTCCTTACTGATCAAAACTTAACAGAGAAGTGTCCAATAGTAGGGAAATATTCAGTGTCTATGCGAGAGAAGGTGAAATTACAGCCTACAAATTAAGTAAGTGCAAGATGGGAGTGGACACGAAAGAAGTTGTAATCAAAGACAGTTTATTCATCATCATCATCATCATCCTCATCTTCCTCCTCCTCATCATCTTCCTCTTCCTCCTCACTCTCCTCTTTGGCCTTCTTCTGTGGAGATGCCTTAGCCTTCTTACTATACGCACTCTTTTCCTGCAAGCACAAACAATATTTATTAAAATGCTGTTGCTAAATATGTAAGTTCGCAATTCCCTGTACAGCATATCAAATGCAGAATTTTCATTCTAAATATTACTAATTTGCACAGGTTTCACACAAGTACAGATCCTAAATGCAAGTTGACATTATTATAAAACCATTTTTAGGTAATGTTCATCAGGATCCCCTATGCTGTATCTGCATTCAAGGTTTAACTCTCCCAGACACACTGATCATTAATTTGTGAAAAACAGACAATAGCATTTAGACAAATGCATTCCTTTCAAAAAAAAAAAAAAAAAAAAAAAGTTACCTTTTCATATCTGGCCTTGTCATTGGCAGCCATCTTTTCGAAAGCACTCTTGTCGGTAACCTTGGACCATTTGTCACCTAACTTCTTAGCAATTTCACCGACGCCCAAGTCTGGAAACTGAGCCCGCAGAGCAGGGCGTTCTTGGGCACAGAAGAAAAAGAATGCAGACCTGAAATGTGAAAGAGCACAATAAAGTTAAACAAATCAATTATTGTTACTTAGTTTATCAGCCAACACTTGAATGTGATTGCAATGACACAAATTCTTGAATCTTAAAATGACTCTTAACTTCAAAATACTTACATTCCCCTCTTAGGTGCATTAGGATCCTTCTTCTGCTTCCTCTTCTTTCCTTTGCCACCAGATTCACCTGGAGGGGGAACATATTTGGCCATCTCTCTCTCATAACGAGCCTTGTCCTTTTCAGCCATTTCTTCAAACCTCTTTTTTTCCTTGGCTGTCATACTCTGAAAACAAAGCACATTTTTGACTTAAAATTGATTTTTTTTATTGTTCACTGCAATTTTTAAAACATAAGTATTTCAAAAGAATAAGAACTAAAAACATTGAAAGGACAATATTCCATACACTTCATACTGCAGAATATTTTACACATAAATAACTGCTGAACCCTATGGTAAAGAGAAAATATAACTTTTGTTTTCTTTGAATTTTGCCATTTAACAAAATACTTACAGCCCACTTTTCAGAGCACTTCTTGGAGAACTCTCTGAAGTTCACATTCTCTCCTGGGTGTTTCTTCTTGTGCTCTTCGCGGCACACTTGCACAAAGAACGCATATGAAGACATACGCCCCCTTGGCTTATCTGCATCCTTTTTGCCCATGATTCAAGATGCTAGAAATTGACAGAAATTGTTTTCATTATTCTCTAAAATACACAAATGTTTTATGAATTTTTCAATAACATTTTATTGATTATGTAATAATGCATAATAATAGATTTTAAAAAAACATGAACGCTTATTCGTAAAAAATTCCAAAACATGCTCTAAACCATTCTGATAAAATATGTTCATTTTACAAACAAAATCATGTAAACAAATGTCAAGACCACTAAAAATCAATGTTACATAAATAATAAGACTATCCAAGCATTTTTTCATCTTTTCAAACAGGTGCATTGTTAAAAAAGGTTTAAACTTTTGAAAATTTGCAAATAAATATTCCTTAATATTGCACTTCTACAAATGATGCAAATATTACTCTGATGCAACATTATAGTGACCACCTTTCTCTAAATGTACCATATTCCAAATACACTATCAAAAATATCATGCCAAATATGCTCGAAAAAACAACAGAGTTTGACCTTGAAAAACAAAGCAATTTACTCCAAGGTCATCCATATAAAATCTAAAAATTAACTCTAAAATATCATATCAAGAGATTGAAAGAGGTTTCCTCAAATTAAAACCATCGTATATGACCACGTAAATCACCAGGCTAGCATTTCAATACAGCCAAACACACCGCCCCGTCTCGAAAGATTCTCCACAGTTGCCATTTCAACATGCAAAATCCAGTTTAAACCAGTCTGACAAACAAAGAAGGTCACCATCCACCCCCCTTACTTCTGTTAAATCCCCCCTAAATAACCCCCATCTAATGGGCCAAGTTTGCCCATCGTGTACCAGGTACCCATTTACAGTGTATACTACATGCTATAGTGCCCATACTATGGCTTTACACTGTAAAGTATTGGTACACAGCCGACATTTTTCTTGACCCCAAAATCCACCTTCCACGAAGCAATTTTTGACCTGATGAATGAAAGTCCCCTTTAAAATCATCTTTGAATAGTTTTATGATGGTAAAACCCAAAAATGATAGCTTTTGTGGAAGCTAGAGACTTCGTCTGACAAGCCCCCTACTCCATTGCATGGTACATAGTGTCTATATGGATATACAGGCTAGATGTAGGCAGCACATTACAAGGCATAGGACTGTTGTTTGGCCATGTAACAAAGGCATACTAAATTGAAAAGTCCAATTTCTCAAAAATTCAGCTATCGATCATAAAGAATTTTTGCATGTGCCTTTTTCCCGTTAGTTTCTATCAACATCTCATCACAGATTTTACAATCACTCATTTTAAAATGATTTTCAGCCAAATTGAAAAATCGAGCACAAGCCGTCCTCCATCATTACATTGACGGACCACAGGTTGGAGTTATCAGCTGATAAGCTCACTTTGAAAATAAATTGCATTATGAAAATAACTCTGGACACAGAATAAAAAATATGCATAAATTATTTATATTCATATTCTGCCAATGCAGAATGTTTTTTTCAGTGTCCGTTGATTTAAACATAAAGATAATTGAACTTACATTTTACCGGTCTCCTGCCTTGCAGCTTGAAATGGCTGGCCCACGCTACTTATGCGGCTACATAAGAAAACACAGCCCGGAAAACTCTGGCTTATGATTGGTCCGTTTCAGATTAACCGGCAATGTTGACCAATCCAAGCTTAGAATTGTCGCCTCGTGACTAGCGTCCCCAGCGCTGTCCAATCAAAATGTAAATCTCCGTCAGGTGCTCTCTGTGGTAGCGGGAATTCAAACAAAAGGTCATTATTATAAGTTTTAAAGGTTAAAAATCACATAAAAAGTACAAAGAAGACACTTCTGTTGGATGTTTTTACAGAAAACCCAGATAATAAATAATTTTAGCCTTTTTACCAGCTAAAGGTGTATCATTTAAATATTGTGGCAGATGGAGAAATTCAGCCACCCAAATAAGGTTTGCATGACGTCAGTTCACCTTTGACCTACCACATCGTGAAAACAGGCCGCCATTTCAAGCACTTCATCATTGTTCGCAAAAGCGAGCAAGCTCAGAAAAACACAAATTTTGCCAAGTTGTCTCCGTTAAAAATTGAGTCTAAGTACACGTCCAGGTGCGCCCATACTCGGATAACACCAGGCTCAAAACTTGGTGAGTTACTTTCTGCAGTATTCTTGATTTCAGCACTTTTTTATGAAGTCATTTGTAGGTTTTGCTAGTTTCGAGATCGAAAATAACAGCTTGCATTTAGGCGAGGACAGCATTATTGGCTTCTAAAGCCTTTATATCAAACTCTGTGCCTTTCTAAACCGGCGAAAATAATATATGATTACGTTACCTATTTACAGCATTAAGATCAACACTAGGCAGGTGAAAAACACCCATGCACTATGGAATTTTAGTTAAAGCGTGTTAACAATTTTTAGCACAAATACAGCAGTGACACGTTGCCGCACTCCTGTATTTATTTCGATTTGCACTTGACAAATATTAGAAATAATCAAATTTGATTCTGTACAGTTATTTTTGTAATGAGATTGGGTTTGGAAAGCAAAACCCCATAAAGCTTCAAAAAGACGATAAAGTACACATAGTAAGTCCCAAGGATCCTAAATTGCCTCACCAGTTTGTCTCGAGCTCCAATGTTCAAGCTTTATACTTTTGGTCTGCTCCTCGTCCTTGCCATAGATGTTCTTATTATCTAGTACTGGCAGGACCTGGCAGTGGAAGTAAACATTACAATGATACCTTGATGTGTTGGCTGTTCTGCTGACTGAAGTGTGACCAACACGGTACACCCCATTTGCACCGTAATTCAGATATTGGAACTAGAATGACGAGGTCTACTTGACAGTTTGTAGCACAAAGGTCACATCTAGGTGCCATTTCAAGTCAGATTGTACAAAATGGCACAGTATATTGTAAAAGCTATTTTTATCAAAGGATTTGAAAAGACATTCATAGCATAAGTTCAGCCCTATGAAAGAAAAGAAAACTTTAGATTATACTTTATAGTCTGTATTAGGTGAAAGGATTTAACTAAAAAGATGTCAACTTGTAAGTTGACACAATTACTTGAAATTTGTGAACCAGACGGAAACAACATAGCATGGACTAACAGGCCTCCTTGTTTCCAACACACTCATACACCCCATTTCCATAGATTAGATCGACCTAACTCCCTGGGGGTTCACACTAAATAGCTGTCAGCCGGGCGGACACGAAAGTTAATTACCCCCTTGCAGCTTGTAGTAGGCGGGACGGACATTTAAGTCGGATTATCTGAAAGTAATCTAGTGAGACTCCCCGCGGGGATAGAGCGATCTAAAATCTATGGGAATAGAGCCATAATGACAAACTTCTCTGTATTCTACTCAATGGCAGGAGGAGACATGTTGCATTGTTAGTTTGTTAATCTGATTACATTCAGAGAGTGGAGTTAATGCGTGTAGCTACATCGAAATAACTCGTTCTGATGAGTCCGTATAGAGACTTAAAAGATTTATCTGAAATTTGATTTGAAAACAAGAATGGCTGATTGCAAGCTTAAACATAAGGACAAAAAAGATGTGTTCAGTAATACGGCCCCTCCGCATTTAGTCAGTAGTGAGCCACATCTACAACACTGTTACCGAGTGGAGAACCAAAGAACAAGACACTATGGGAAGAACTGCAGGACATATAGTAGGGTTTTTCAGGAAGTAGATAAAAACATGCATTGGTCAGGAATGCATAACAGGGAAATTCCTGCATGGAAAGGCTATTTATAGAGCATATTGTAAAGAGATTAAGAAAGGTCAAAGTGCACTCCTGTGGTTTGCGGAAGTGATGTTGCTGCACTGTGGTTTTGGAACTAGTTTATATTTAGCGCTGATTGTTAATTTAAAGATAGAAAATCTGAATAATGAATGAGTCTGCAAGAGATAAATATACAACTGTTGTAGTTAATTTGGAATAGTTTGAGAGACAAGTAATCCATCCATCCATACATACATACATACATACATACATACATACATACATATATATTTATTTATTTATTTCAATTTAAATATGATTTTTCCCCTGATTGTTTTCTGCCCTGAGGAGCCTACAGACCACCGAGCCATACCTCTTTAAATACTTTTTTCTTCCAACTTAAAATAATGTCAGTTAATATGAAAAAAAGTCATTTTTGTTGTTTATTTAGTCTGACCTATATAAGATGACATAAGCAGGACAGATCTTTCTGATAAATTCTGGGAAGATGAACTGAAGCAGGATGTGACCATCATGACTTTGGTTCTTGAATAGAAATCTAGGATGTGGTTATAGCAATATTATTAGCAGAAGCCAAAAAAAGCTTTGATTGAATTATGCAATAAAACTGCAAAGATCATGCTTCTGGGGCAGTATTGAACATGGAGACTGCAATTTACTGTAATGTGAAACAGGATGATTCATCCTTAAGTAGCAAAATTAAGAAGGATATTAGTGCAATTATTGTATTAGATATATTATCAAATGGATACTATTTCTCAGACCTGATGTGGAAGAAATATGACAATCTGTGATTGAGGTTTTCTTTATAATTGTTTTTTGAAATATAGCTTGCTACAATGAAGTTACATTGAGTGGGTAGTATGATTTGCCTCACATTTATCGGATGTCTAGATCCCAAGGATCTTTGTTAATGATTTCTTGAAGAAGAGGAAAAAGTTTTGCTTTTAGAATCCAACAAATTTCATGCTGAAATAGTCCAAAGGTGCATATCCAGTCTGAAAGTGGCAACTCAACTTAGTAAGCACTAACATATTACTTAGTTACTGTGATTGGTGGGAAACAGGGAATAGATTGTCTTCCTGTGGTCCATGGCACAGTGTGTGCTACATTGTCTATATATCTAGACAAGGTTGGGAATGTACTTCATGTTTATCTGGTTGTTACTAGTAGTATATGGCTGCATTCACAACTGGTTGGTCAGTGGATTAAAAGCGCAATCAGAAAAGCGGACTAACACATCCGCGGATCAAATATGTCTGACCCACTTGAATGCTTCTTGTGTAATCCCCGTGGGGATCTGTTCAGTGTCTAATCAGGGGAAAAATCGCAAGCTTTTAATTCAGTCCATATGTTGTATCCCTGGTTCTGTTAGTATGCTGCTCTGAATGTGCTCTAACAGATCCACTGGTCATATGTGGCCGACCCAATTGAAAGCTTGCCACATTATCCCTCAATGGACACTTAATAGATTCTCTGTGGGGATCTCCTGGCAAGCTTTCAAGTAGGTCGGTCATATTTGAGGGGTGATCGCGGATCTACTTTGGTTGTGAATGCGCCATGCCCAAACACACACTGGGAATCATAATCTTGGTATTGGCGAGATTACATACAAAAATGATGAATCAATAACAGAATCTTCCTATTCACTTTCAAGTTTATGACAAGAAAGAAGTTCCGGTTTAGCTTGCCAAGGAGGAGAAGACTAGTTTCTGAGGCGACTGCATCAGCTGAGAAGCTACTTCAGTTCTTTCAAACAGGAAAAGGTACGAATATCAGAAATATTTGAGATCGTTACTTGGACTGTTGGCTATTTATCATGTTAAAATAATTTGACATTGGCTACAAAAATGATTAGCAAATGAGAATGAATTTAAGTTATTATGAATAAACCAGTCAGTCATTATGATGTAAAACAGATCATATTGCTGAAACGTAAAATATGCTTCAGTGAAGTCTGTTCTTAAAAACCTTTTTAATGCAGAAAGGGAGTTCTCACTTAACGGTATGCACTGGCATCTGTTTGGAAACTGTCATTGCATGTTGTCCAGAACTGCGCAAAATTTAGCAATGAATGAAATTTACAAATAGGCTCGAAATATGGATATTATTGTATACTTTTTGGTTAGAAAGCACTTTAGTACTGCTTTCCAATAGATGACCCTGACAGTGACCTGACTTAAGAACATTACACCTAGCATTGTAATCTCAAGGTCAGGAGAAAGCAAGGTCTCAATAAAACCAGATATCTGGGCTTCAGTTTAATGTTCTACGGTGATTGCTTGGCTCTCGTAGTTTGCTGTGTCGAGGTTTTTAGAATATTTAGGAGTTGCCTTTTTATTCATTAGTCTACAATGCTGTCTATATATGAAGAACTGTGGTAGACTATTGATTAAAGATGGCTGAGAGTGCAGTGGTAAGCTGTCTACCAATCTCTCGGGAGACTTGTATAGGAGTATTGAGAGATTAGATTTCTCTTTCTGTTACACCGCAGCTAGACTTTGATTGCAAAAGGTGATATCTAGGCAATAGTTTGTACAGTAGAAATGCATTGCAGACAAAGTGAAATAGAAATACCTGTTATTCTAAAATGGCCCAGGGAATTCGTGCAGCATTAAAAGAAAATATGCATAGTTATTTCCACAGCATATATTTAGTCTTTCAAGGAAATGTAGTCAATAAAAAATTAACAAAGTCCCACACATATACATGCACATGTAAAAAATTGATTTGAATTTGGTATTATATTTTTCAATATATTGACAATTCATTGCTGAATATTTAGATGATATGGACAATTTTAAACTGACATGTTAGACATCAGATTGCTCACTTTTCTATTGGTAGTATAAGCAGGAGAAAAATTCATGGTCTCTCAAACACGTGATAAATGTAACCCTATTATTGATAGATATATATTGCTGGAAGAGGCTTGTTTATTGATGACAACTAATATACATTGTTTTATCACTATTACGTGGCACTTTGTTAAATGCATGCGTTTATTCTATATTCCAGCTATGAGTGGCAATATCAACGGTTTCAGTACAGAAGAAGACAGCCGCGGAAGTCATGAGCAGATCTGCTGCCTGGTGGACCAGGGCACGCGATGCACGCGCCTGGCTGGGAACGCCTGCTACAGCAAGAGAATACAGAAAACTGTACAGCAAAGGAGGCTGAAACTCAATTTAGACATTACAGTAAGTAGCATCAAGGATATATCACCAATCTATGCAGTTGATCTTAGATTTAGTAAAGGCTATACCATGGGATAAAAGCCCAGACCGAGAGAGCGCTCTTAATTACTTGATGAGGAAAAAATTTAGGTGCAACTTGGTTTTTCTGAAAAGAAAAAAGGAGAGCCAGGGGTAGGGAAGTTGTGCTAAGTTTGTTCTTGACATGCATTGATATAATTATTTTCTTTATGATTCATGATGTCAGAGATCTGTAGCTGGCAAAGGATACATACTTATTCTTAGAATTTCTTACTTTTTTGCAGGCACATCACATTTACATCTGTGAAATACACAAAAACATGATCCAGAGTGTGCGAGCAAAACGGAAGAGAAACAACAGTGATGACGACCGGGTGTCTTTGGATCTTGATAGTGAATTTCCTGAGGTAGGAGTTGGTGGCCTCGCCAAGGGTGGAGGAGTTTGTGTTTTTATTAGTGCAACCTTTTGGGGTTGAGATAAATTAAATGTCAAGTTACCTCATTTTCTAACAGTCTTAAAGACCTTCAAAGTGACAATTAAGGTAACTCCGAGTGTGTGTGTATGTGCCTGGTTGGATGGATGTGCCTGCATGTGCATGCATGCGTGCCTGCCTTACCTTACTCTTAGTAAAGTACAAGGAAGAGAATCAAAATAATTATTTTAAATTGACCTGGCAGTTCATTGGTGAACCTGTTCTGTATTTCTGTGATAAAACAATAGGTCTGTCGGTTGTATAATTAACTTCCTTATTCTAAATGCAACATTTTACAAACCAAGGCAATTTCAGATTCTATTTGGTCTTAATCTTCAGCTTGTTTTTATTTAAGAAGTATGCTTAGAGTCATATCCTCCTATTAATTTTCACAGTACTCGAGTTATTTGATATGTTGATCCTTGCATGCTGCTAATGTACAAGCATGAATTTTTCTTGTTTTATTTTTTTGTAGATTGATTTTTTTCAAATGCCAGTGAACACATTACGAAGATACAAGCGTCATTATAAACTGCAGACAAGACCTGGACTCAACAAAGCACAGCTGGCAGATGTAAGTGTAAAGTGTTAAAAAATTATTTTTGCAGAGTGAAAACTTTAATCATAAAAGAATGATGTATATAAAGTAAGACTAGAACATTTCTTTACTTTAAATAGGAAAATTGAAGCTATTTCACTTTATTCAGACAATAAAGACATATTTTGGGGACAAATAAGTTCTCATAGGAATAGCTCAGGTGTGGATTTTCTCTTTTCAATGAAAATTTCAAGTTTGAATTTCAATTTTCTCTGATTTTAAAACCTTTGTCTTCTCTGCATTCCATACAGCAAAACCAGCAGTAGTTGGTTGTTGGGTGAAAATGGCATCCACTAACTTAATTTTATCTTAAGTGATTTAGCATATTTATGAAGCAATTGATTGGAATGAATAGCTGAAAAATTATATAATTTTAAAAAATCTAGCTTTTTTTATGACATTAGAAAAATATTTGGACTAAGGAAAGTGATATTAAATGAAAAATAGCCAAATTAGTGTCTTGTTTGAAATTTTATAAATATGTGTACATATCTTATGTCATTTCAGACGGTGTCCAGGCATTTCAAGACTATTCCTGTTATCGAGAAAGAAGCCCTCACTTTCTTTATTTACATGGCAAAAAGTAATAAGAGTAAATTTGACCAGAAAGTACTGGATGGGTTCAGCTAACACTGGAATGCTGGGATGGACATGAAAGTTTTTGGTATAAAATGGACAGGAAAGACTCATTTAAAACTGGTCTTATTTAACCAGGAATAATCTAAATGTTGTCATTAGATTGATATTCAATGATTTTGAATTTTAAGGCGTGATGGGGATAGGCAATTTGACACTGATTTCCTGACATCAGCAAGAGTATTCTAAGTTAAATTTGATAAGAAAAAAGGCACTTGTTGAAATAAGGGCCAGATACTTTGACCACAACATACCACTAGAATTTTTTTTTAAACAAAAGGGATGTTAGAAATTTTAAGAAATGAATATGTAATTCACATAAAATGTGACCTGCAGCACAAGCATTATGTGCCACACGAGCAATTATTACCACTGCCAGGGAAATGCTTAGAAATTACCTGCCTTGGTGGAGCCACACACTTTCTGAGTGCTTTCACAGTTCCTAAAAAAATGCATGGATTTTTAAGGCGTATTATTTCTCCATACAGCTGAAATTAGATTTGTTAATTGCATGAATGTCTGTCTTGAATGTTACTTTCTCTTGTTTTTGTCAATTCCTACAAAGTGACAGATTAAGACTTGCCTATGGGATGTATTGAAATTAATTATGATAAAATCGATTTAACAGGCTTCCTGGATTTTTTTATTGCTGTGAATTGGAAACATCCATTTGAAATGGAGACTTGCCATTGTCTTAGCTTAATGTTAATCTTTGTCTTCAGTACCTTTTGAAAAGGATTCTAGGATTATGGATTTTTTCTTCTCAAAAAAAGTTGTAGAACATATATGATGTACTTATTGCAAATAAAATTGTACACACTATTATAAATATTGACTTTTATGTTTGGTTTCATTATGATGCGGTGTCACTTGATTACAACAAAAGCTGAGAAAAATTAGGTAAAGTCGGTTCTGAAGTTAAAGAAATGCAATCCTGCATGATGTACGGGCTGAAATATGCCATCCACTTTTCCCGTGTACTACCAAATTCATCTTATAGTGATTATGGAGAGGGGGATAATGAACGCTGACTCGAAGCGCAATCGGTGCCATTGAATATTGGAATATTGAATGGAGGTGAAATATTGTTTTGCATGTCATCTCTACCACAATGTGGGACACCTGGTATGCCGATCACTAAGCCCAACACACAATGTCCATGCAAAACAACAGAACCATAATTACGACTTGCAGGGCCCTGTTTCCACAAATGAATTTAATAGTCATAAATCGGTAGTAGTTAATCTAAATATAGAGACAAATGTTAGACTGGGTTCCCACACCTAGACCTATCTAACAGGGTCGATCCATCTCCAAGGGGTTTCCGGCTGAATGGCTTTCAGCTGAAGCAGCTTAGGTGTCTGGCACGCCTGCTGGTCCCCGTTTCACAAAAAAACTTAAGTCGGTTTCCCTGACTTAGGGCTTGGTTACCAACGTAATTAAGTCGTTACATCACTAAGTCCCGTTTCACAAAGAATCTAAAAGGTCGCTTACGTCGTTTTTTTCTTAGCTGTAAGTCGACGATGTCAAGCCTCCTCGGGAGGAGACTTTAGTCGGCAAGCTCAACTAAAACTCGGTAAATGAGAGCATAAACAACAAAAATTTGGAAAGAACATACCTCCTTCAAGATATTGTGTTATAACATCCTTGAATAGCACTGACATTTATGGAATATTGAAATGAAAAATAAAATGCCATTTCACCCAGTCGATCGTGTGTTTGTTTATGTTTTTGACCGCTAGACGTCCGTCAGCAGTGTTCCACGACAAGCTAAAGTTTAACTGTTACTTTGAAGTTGTATCGAAGTTAAACTAATCAATAAAGTTCAAAAACAAACTTTGTTTGTGTTTTGGCTGCTATTTAGTCAATAATCAAAAATTGGTGGAAATTATTCTATAATTTATTATGTAATGTGACATCAAAATTGACAATAATCTTTTTGCACTGCTACTGCAAACATTATGAAAAGAAAACTGTGCTACTTATTATTATATTTAACTTATAAGTATGATTTTTAGGATTTGCATGCAGTTCAAATTAGAAAGCCAGGTCAATTGGGTTATCATTTATTATTGAATTTATGCAATTTTGTGTGAAATTTTCATTTTTCTCATTCTGGCACTTTCTAAGTATAAACTTGAACTCTGATGGGCCTGAAGCCTTATGATTTTACTTTCGTCGGTGTTACCTGTGCAAAATTAAAATTTGATGTTGACTGTGCAGTTAAACATAATGTATTATTGCATCAGAATTGGTAGTCTCCTATTTTGTGCATTATTGTTTTGTGCTTTTCTTAAGTTGTGACTTATGGGCCTATCTATATCAAATATGGGCCTATATATATCAAACTCAAAGATTAAAAGTTTGAATAGCAGCTTCATTGGAATTATATTTACCTCTGCCAAGGAGGTTATATTTTCACCCCTGTTTGTCTGTCATCAACATAACTCAAAAAGTTATGGACTGATTTTGATGAAATTTTCAGGAACTGTCAGAAGTGGGCCAAAGAGGACAATAATCAATAATAACCAACAATTGCTGCCTTGGCAGAGGTCTGCACTCTTGGGGCGCTTTTCTAGTTTTGTTATGTTTTCCTTTATAATTTTTTCTCAAACACTTGCATTTGTGACTTTTAAATCTCATCCGCCTAAGGCTCTGAAATTCCACATAAGTAGTTGGATTGTTTTTTATGTCTTTTAACATTATGTTACTTATGTAATATTAATTTTTGCACTGTCATCATTTTTCAAATATTGAGACTTTCATCATGTGAATTTGAACTCTAATGGTCCTGAAACTGTAATCTTATTGAAGGGGTGGATTGAGACCGATCTTCTGGGTCTTCCGGAGGACAGTCAGGTTATTAAGTTTATATTGACTGGTATTTATTTTTTTTCCTGTTGGAAGAACATCAAAATGGAGGATGGATCAAAATAGATACTTTGGAATACTGTCAGAAAATATCTCTGGGTCCGCTCATGTTATTGACCATTTAAACTGTTGTGCAGGATTATAATTCAGTGTTGACTGACAGTGCTATTATACGCATTATTTATTATTGCATTAAAATTGACAAAATGACCTTTTTTGCATCTTTATTTTCTGTTTTTTTTGTTTTTTTTTTTTTGTTTTTTTGTCTGTACATTTGACAGCTTTTCTTTATTTAAAGTTTCATTGTTTTTAATAGTAAGTGGCTTTTAAACAGTAAAGTATAACAATGATTAATTTTAAACAGTAGGTATACCTACAAGTAGCTACTCTTGGCTATTACATTATAAAATACTTATTTTTTGCACCTAGGGTGTAAAATACACAGTGGGGAAGTTTCCACTGGCTGCCAACAGCCGCTCCAAGTGTAATAATGACACAGATGGGTTTGTCAAGGTTTTCGGAGACAAAGAGACAGATAGGTTATTGGGATGTCATATAATTGCTTCTGTAAGTAGATTGCTGATGTTCTTAAGCCAAGATTACATTTGCCACTTGCACTGTATAATCATACGCAAGCTCTTTGTGATAGTATCCAATTTTTTTGCTTGACAAAATTGTAGTGGCTATCGGGGCTGTGGATCCATAAAAGTTGCACAGCCACCATATGCCTCTGCACAGACACCACATGAAAAGGGATTTACTGGCAGTACGCTAGCACCAAACAGACATTGTATGGCAAATGTAATCAGGGGTTTAGTTGTTTGTGGTAATACTGATACACTTATTTGTTAGATAACCCTCTTAACTACTTATTTATTTATTTATTTTCAAACAAATCTGATAACTAATTTCTTTTATATAACCTATGCTGAATTGGTAAAAATCAGATTTCATTTAAATATGTTTATTGGTCAGTATCAGAATGTCTAAAAATTGAAAAAGAAAATTTATAACAACATTTAAATCTGCCTCCTACTATTAATATTTGATTTTGTGTTATCATGATCAATTCTTATATATAATACATCTTTGAATATTTTGATGCATTTACACTATAGAAATAAAAGTAACCTTTTTGTAGTAAATTTGTTAATAGGCTATTTTTGTGAATTAATAGTAGAAATGTATTTCAGGTTGCTGGTAAATTAATCAATGAAGCAGTGTTAGCTATGGAGTATGGAGCATTTTGTGAAGATGTCGCCAGGGTCTGTCACGCTCACCCTGTAAGTAACAGCTTTGTTTCATGCATCTTGGAACCTGGAAATTATTATCAACATGCATCTGTCATTCGCTCTGACCAAATTCCACACACTTTTGGCCTGTCTGTTTTTGTACTACACTTCTTGATTTTTTAGCCTATCAAATCAACAGTACTGGAAAAGGTAGAAATAAATAAAATGAAAGTCTCCACATGCAAATACATGATCAGTCCTAGGCAGACAAGGTGTCCTGAAACGAACCATCTGAGTTTTGTCCACATTCAGAGTCAACTGCCATTTATAATACCACTTGTGCACAACATCAAGCATTGACTGCAAGTCCTTTTCATTCTTAGCTTAAAGCACAACCGCAAAAATCAACAGTAATGGAAAGGGCAGAGGCATGCTGATAATAAAATCATTTCCAGTGACCTGAAAAATCTGAAAATTTGGATGTTTTCACGTTTTTTTAAAAATTATTTACAAATAAATTCAGATCAACATTTGAACGACTATTTAAAGTTGAAGAGGTTAATGTGTGTGTTTTTTTTTTTACCATTTGTGTTAATTTGTCTCTTTTCATTACAAGTAACTAGAAAAGATTTCAAGTGTTACAAGTTTACAATATTGCGTAATCAGTTTTGTATTTTAAAAATTTATTTTAATGTGGGGTGATGAGTTTTCTATCTAAAGGAACTTTAACATGCAGACATATTAAAACTAACACAATTGATTTTTCAGACGGTTGCTGAAGCACTACGAGAGGCCCACCTAGCAGCTTACTGTGGGAAACCCATCAACATTTAAACATACTTGGAATGTAATTTTAACCTCCAGTAAATGCTGCAGTGACTTTATATAAGAGATTGAAACAGCATAATGAGGGAGTTGTCAAAATTTCGGGATTTGGTGTAGCTTTGAGATGTGTGGAAGATTTGACACAGTTGAATAGTGATTTGGGATTACTTTTTATCTGTCACTGCTTCATTTATAATGTATGGTAGGATACAAGGCAAAAGCAACACACGGAGAGAGAAACATGGAAATACAATAAGACTGTCGTGGTATGACAAAACGATATTTGATAAGCTCCACATAAAAAATGTACCTGGCTTGTATAACACAAAGATCCAGAATTGTGACATTCTTTCTCGTTTCTAATAAATGTTTAAAAAGGCGGAACATTCAAATAATTTGCATAAGAAAATGTCAATCTCCCTATTCATCAGCTTTATATCTCAAGTTCTGCTTGAGAATCAGTTATTGGTTTTTGTAATGGTATTAGTTCACTAAAAGAAGGTGAAATACACTCCTTAAGAGTTATAACACACAACTAATGTATTTATATGTATTTCTTTTCTGGATTAAAGAGCATTATTTATCATATCTCTTTAAAGAGTCAAAATTGCCATCCAGTCGCTATTGGGATTGCTCATGTATCTCATCCATGTAAACAAATCAAAATGAGCAGAGCTGAAAATATTCATGTGAAACTCAGTAAAAAATGTTCTAGGACTTTTGGATATATATATATATATATATATATATATATATATATATATGGATATACTTTTGGATATATATAAATGGATAAAGTAAACGTATATATATATATATATATATATATATATATATATATATATATATATATATATATATATTAAAAGGATCAGATATCATCGCCCAAGTATGTACTACTTAGAGGGTTAAGCTAACCAGGGGGCGATCCTGGATTTCCTAGAGGGGTGTTCGGCTTTTTAAATCCCCCCCCCCCACCCACTCACCCGAATTTTTTTATAAATTTTAATACGTGGACAGAACGGTTTAAATTTAAAATTGAATAATAATTTAATATATCAGTTTTAGAAAGTCATCAAGTAACATCGCAAGACTAATGTAAGCCATATGACGGTCATGTTCGGTTTCAGAGATTTTGTATCTCGTGTATCTAGGCATAGGACGGGCTGAGATTTGTCTTTAACAGAATACTTTAACATAGTTTTGTCTGTTACTGAATAACTATCTGAAATCAAAATCGGGAAGGGATTTTAGGGAATGGTGTAAGGCACGTGAGTAAATAATTGTGTGGTGCAGAACTACATAAACAGTGACAAAGACGTTTTATTGTGAAACGTGCCTTTTCTACCAGGAGCGTCGAGTAGCGTGAAGGTGTGTGTGTGTGTGTGTGTGTGTGTGTGTGTGTGTGTGTGTGTGTGTGTGGAGGGGGGGGGGCGAAATCTTTTTTTAATACCTTTTGTAACAGAAAGTGATAAACCAAGCTTTTGTGTTAACAATGAAAACATCTTACGATTCATGCCTTGCTAGTATAAAGTTATCGTATTCAGGGAAAGAGGTTTTTAAAATAACAACCCTTTTGGGTAATATTCGCACGTTATTAATACTAACAAAAATAAAAAAATCCGTATAAAAAAGAGGTATTACGAGAAGCACATTTATTTTACTGACAAATATTGTTCTCAACCTCAAGTATATATATTTTTNAAACGTGCCTTTTCTACCAGGAGCGTCGAGTAGCGTGAAGGTGTGTGTGTGTGTGTGTGTGTGTGGAGGGGGGGGGGGGCGAAATCTTTTTTTAATACCTTTTGTAACAGAAAGTGATAAACCAAGCTTTTGTGTTAACAATGAAAACATCTTACGATTCATGCCTTGCTAGTATAAAGTTATCGTATTCAGGGAAAGAGGTTTTTAAAATAACAACCCTTTTGGGTAATATTCGCACGTTATTAATACTAACAAAAATAAAAAAATCCGTATAAAAAAGAGGTATTACGAGAAGCACATTTATTTTACTGACAAATATTGTTCTCAACCTCAAGTATATATATTTTTTAAAATGCCTGGTAACTAAGGTTTTGCAAATTACTTTCCATGAGAACGCGTTTTTGTCGTGTTTTGTATAAAACAATTGAGTGTGTCCTGCCTATCGTCTAGCTAATCATAGATGTAATTGAAGATTCTTTGTATGGCTAAAATATTACAAAAATATCAAACAACTAAAAATAATGACCCGCAGCAAAAGGCGTCACAATTTTTTTTTTCAGTTTTTAAAAGCCAGGTGACACCGCGGACGTAGCCGCGATCTATATTGCGCCATTTAAAATGAACATAAACACAGACATTTTCTGAGACGTTAGACATCATACTCACTTCTTGCATTTGTGCTTTAGTAGAAATAACCTAGATCGATTGGAGAATGCAAGATGGAGCTGCGAACTACAATAACGATGGTTTACATTTTGTTTTTTTATGTCAGAACAGATGAATCTAGTAATTATTTTTTGCGGCGATTTAAGTGGCTAGACTGATTTAAGTAAATTCCACTTGGATAAACAATTCTTTCTCCTGTTTTAAATTCTTAAATGAACCTACACATTGAGAATCAGCGAGTGTTCTCGTGGAAGGCGAGGCAAGTCCCGAGTTCGATTTTTAGGTAGAGTCGAGTCAGAGACCACCTCACTGAGAAAACACACAAATGGAACTGTTGTGTGCCCGACCATGAAGCACTGATAATGAGCAATTGGCCTATTAGCATGTAAACTCTAGTTTTCGGAAACTTTGGTTGCATGCTCTCCAGAGAGATTAGAAAGGATGCCAGTGAGCACTGAGACTTATAACAATGTTAAAACGCATATTAAAAAGTGCAAAATCCAGCTTTGGTTTAAAATGGATAAAGTAAACGTACAAATGAGAAAAAATTCATTTTTAAATTTTTTTATCTTATTATTCGTATTTATTATCTTTTTTCTGTTTTTTCTCTACTCAAGCCAATGGCATAAGAGTACTGGTCACCTGAAGCCAAAAAGGAAGGCACCTGTTCTTAATTATTGCCTAAATCAATAGATGTTTTATATATAAAAATAAAATCATTCGTTTCTTCTGCCTTGTCGAAGTTAATCAAGATTTTTCATATGACCCACTGCTGCTATTCTTTCTATTCCTAAAATCATAATAACTTATTTTCATTTCATTTCTTGATTACAAAATGTGTTTCAGAGAACTGAGGTGGATGTACATGTCCAGTCCAGCGTACTTTTAAATGACTCACTACAATTCGCTACAATCAGAACAACCATACTCCCTCAGGGTGCCTCGAAAATGCAGTCATTATACGCCATATTACGTCATCCACATTTTGGATCAGTGCTCGAATACACGCGCACAATACAGTGGCCTGCGAGAAGTTCACAGCTTCCAGTATAACCGACATCGTGCCTATCATAATTTTGGGGAGAGGATATGTTGCTCAGAAATTGTCATCTACTTTGTCTGTTACATTTCGAGGTCACTTCTTAGTACTTAATACTCTTACCATAAAATGAAATGATAAACAAAAAATCAAAATAGAAAATATAAAATAAAATTTATATGTCTTTAAGATATTATAATCAAATTGGCGTATCACTATCAAAGACCATCCCCTATGAACAAGTTGACTAGTGGTGACAACAGGAACGCCACCACGTGACTGAAGGTATAAAAGCGCGGAATTTTAAAAGTGCGTTCACTCAACTGCGGACAGATCTAGAGCAACAGGAAGGACGTCGTGTGCTGCGTCCTGTATCAAGCACAAAGGACACGGGAGCATTTCTCCGAATCTTTCCTCATCCTACGTCAACGCATCGCTCTTCGACATATTGTTCCTTGTACACGCAGACGTCTAGACGGTGGATTCGGCGTTTCTCTAAGCTGGCCAGCTTCAACCTTCGCTTCTCCCCACGAGGAATCGTCGCTCAGGGATCTTCGGAGGATACTTCACCTTTTTGCTGTCGTGGGCTAGTCGTAGTGTCATTGTATTATTGCATGCGTTCCAGGTTTATTTTTTTAAATTACAGTTCGTTCTTATTTCTGTTTACAGTACATAGAAGATGAGCGCCACCTGTGGGACTTCGACTGCACTCCATAAGGTATGTAATCTTTTTCTTTTTGGAAGTGGAGTTTAAGAAATGAAAGAAATCTGATCTCGTTCTTATTTCTGTTTACAGGACAAAGAAGATGATGAGCGCCACCGGTGGGACTTCGACTGCACTCCTTAAGGTATGTAATCTTTTTCTTTTTGGAAGTGGAGTTTAAGAAAT